TAACTGTAGTAGCTAACCAAGATAGACAGCTGCTATTTGCATTAAGAATAGTATAAATTGGGTCTTGTTAGGATAATAATAAATAGAATAAATAATAATATATAAATAAAACTTACAATTATATCTGTGAAATAGCCCTTATATATTAATAGCCCTTAAATTGTGCCCTTATATATGCCTTTTTTTTGCTTTCTGTTTTTCAAAAGTGCTAGTTTCACAATGAGTGGTACTTGTGACAGTGGTCTTGAAGCAAAGCTTGAAAAACTTGTAAGTATCAGCCATGAACAGTTTATATCCTGCGGTCTGTACATACTTACCGATAAGGTATACTCTGAAACAGATTTAATCTATCCAGTCCAAGTAATAACAAGTTGCTAACTTGACCCATTTTTCGCCTCAACCTCAAAATAGCTAATATAAAAACAACTCATGGAGCAGCCAGAGAAGGATCACTAATATCCCAGAATGCATTGTGAGTGAGATGAGATTATAACATATTTTTATTCAAACAGCTAAAATTGTACATGTACTTAAGTAGAGTGTATGTCATACCTTAGTGTTGTCTATTTATAAATTCTTCAAGAAATTTAAAGGTACTTGTCAAAATACTGGAATACTTTTTGAGTAATTTCAGGTTCAGTACTTATCCTACAACTGTCTTCTTTTATTTGTCAAATTAGTTGAACTTGTAGCCTTCATCAAATACTAACACCTTAGTTTTAGTGATATTAGTGGTAGAAGTATTGTTACAAAAAGATTCATATCAACCAGTGAAAGCCAAAGAAAACAATAATAAGCGTGCAAAGGAACATGGAATACTAGTGGATCCTCCTCTGTGGCACAGCCATGTTTGTTGGAACAGTAGATTTTTCCTCTGCATTAATAATCCTTGCATTTTTGAAAGTACTCCAGGAGTTAAATGGGTAGAAAGGTTTTTCTACTTGTGGGAATGAAGATGGTACTTAGTGTTACATGATAGTGTTACAAGATCTATTCTTTTTTTTAAAAAAAGCTGGAATATTTACATACATGGTTAACCTAATACAAGATTCTTCTATTTATTTACATGTATGTATATATATATATATATATATATCCATTCTAATACCTCAGTTTCGAGTACTCTTTTGCTCTGTGTTAGCCTCAATAGCTTGTAATATATTCTTTAGTATTGATACAGCCCTTGGTAATGATGTGAGAAATGTATACCAATAAACAATACAATTGCCTTAGAATTCTAAGGGTTTTGCTCTACCATACTTGCTGAATAATGTATGCACAATCGAGGCTAACACAGAGCAAAAGAGAACTCAAAACTGAGGTATTAGAAAGGATATATATATATATATATATATATACATGTTTCAAATAAATTGTAGAAGAATCTTGTATTAGGTTAACCATGTATGTAAATATAAAAAAAAAAGAATAGGGTCTCACAGTAATCTGTGATTTGGTCAGTTTTCCACATCTCTTTTCTGAGATAGCGAACATGGTGCATTGTGATCATATTTGATTAGTCATACCTTAGGTGGTGTTGTTTACCTGGAACACCATACACCTCGTCAGTTTACCCTAGAATCGAGGGAGAGACCTAAAAACCCGACTCTGACTACCGGAACATGTGTTGCTGAGTCCACAAATCAAACATGAAACAGTTGTAAGCTAATGACGTTTTAGGCTCTCGTCTTTCTCATTTTTCCTTTTTTCGTTTTCCCCCGTTCCTTCCCAAACCCGAGGTTTTTCTACTTAAGCTGTAAACAGGCTTTATTTGAATTTTTAGCTCAGACGTATATTTCCCCTTGTCTTTTGAAGGGTATTTTTCCGCTGGACAAATAGCTGGCATCAATTTGCAGACTAGTGCAATCTCGTACCCAGAGCCCACATTCCTCATGGTCAGCATCGTTTCTCGGTACTGACCAACAGGAACGTGGGCTCTGGGTACGAGATTGCAGACTAATGATATGTAGAGATATTTAGGGTTTGTGTGTGGAGGCCAAAGGAGCTAAAAAATACCCCAAGAACAAATTAAGACAACTCATTATAATACGTTATTACAAACAATACTCTAGAACACATCACTACATTGACTTTAATCATGCTCAAGTTCTTCAGTAGCAAGACAGACAAATACTTCCCCATCCGGGACGATTTTTTTCACGAAAATCAATGAAGATGACCAGTACACCCTACCGCCTTAGCTCTGTCTGGATCATACTCAGTAAGCAACCCAACTATAAGCCTCTCAATTATTGCCTTCCTTATAGACAGACCAAGAAAGAACAAAAAATACACTTCTGGCCTACAAAAGCTTCACTCAGCTTCTCGTGGATGCATTCTGATGTGGAGTACTTCCATATGTGAAAACTGGAAACCTATGAGCTATAGTCTCAACATTTGAGGTCATCTAAAAATATGAGGTAAGGAGGAAAAACAGGAGGAGAGCCGACCCACCTTCTCCAACGTCAATTGAATGGTAAAATAATTTTATATGATTTGAGTGATGCATGGAGATATCAAGGTCTATACTTCCAATAAGCTAATGACTGTGATGTCATAGAAGGCATTTGCGTTTATTTCATAAATTCAAACACTTATTACTATGAGAAAACAAATTTGGAAYAACCTTTCTATAAACCCTGAGTAAGACAATGATGTTTTATACAGGATTTTTTATTGCTCCAGAAAATTTAATTTCTGTATATTTAATAATGCCTTCTTTGACATCACACTCATTAACATATAGTCTCTTACTCAACCGCTATTAGTGTCGTCACGCAACGCTAAGTAGCATAGGGGAGTAAGCGTTGCGTGACGACACTAATTCTTCGATGACACGTTACGTCATCGCGGCCATGTTGGTACCATTTAACAAAAGATTTCTCATTAGCATCCATTGTTAACGGTACCACAATGGCCGCCATGTTTTTGTCTTTTAACTCTCTTGGGAATGCTTACAACCCATCAATAGCGATATTGTCGCTATATAATATATATATTATTATTATTATTATTATTATTATTAATAGCGGCTGCGTAGGTGACTAACTGACATATTGGAAGATAAGCATATTAGAACAAAAAGTAACTGAATTAGTTTAATTTTTTTTATCTGGTTAGAATCCAAAACTCAAAATTCGAAATCTATATGCTATTAGTTATGGCGACCATCTATCTTGAGTGCCTACGTAACTGAAATCTGGAAGAGGAGTCTTCTATCTAAATTTTTCATTTAGAATCGTACCTATAAGATAAAAAACAATAATAAAACATACATGTCTTGAATGATATTATGCTCCAATCCCAAATAGGAATAAATGATTAGATATGCAAATAAGTCACCAATTATTGTATATGTAATCAAATCTTACAATTTAAACATTTTGAGCTCAAAAATGTTTTGGAATTTTTTCAAGTTGCTATGAACTTTAAGAAAATAACATTTTCTACACATTTTACTAAATTCTATGCAAAATTTACTTGTCACGTGACCATGCGGCAGATGTCAGTTGCGAGCGTAATTTCACTGAGTCCATGAATCAATTATATGATCCATAATTCCAGAAATCACTTCAACATGGAAACAAACTTATTTCTTCATCTGATAAGTTTCATTCTACTAATCTTTGCATTGGRAAATGTCAAAGGTAAATCTATAAATAATATCAAGAAGCTAAGTTTTTCATTCGGATTAGGTTAGTTGAAGGAATTGAAAGTCCTTTAATTCAGTTGTCGAAAGTTCTGCTAACTTCTAGCTAGCATTCGCGTTTTTTGTATAAACAATTTTGTAAGGAAAAAAAAGCTTTAAAAGAAGACGAGAAAATTTGAATAACCTTAAAATCAGAGACAGAATTTGATATCACCGAAACTAGTTTTGGAAATGAAAATATAATACTAAAATCAGTGTAGTTGTTTAAAAAATCTATAAATCACAAAACAAGTAAAACTGTGACTTCATGTCTGATGGAAATGTCATCGCATACTTTGTATGGAGGAATTGAATCGATAATGCAACGTATTCATGTTACTAAACATATATACGACGGACTTTATTTGAATAGTCGAGTGAATTATTTCTGAACCCCTAACTAAAAACGTTTACGATAATCTGGTAAGCACGCCTTGAAATATCCTCTATATGTTTATAAATATATTATCATATTATTTACCATATAAAGTCTTACCAGTTCATTTGATATTGTTAGCACTGGAAAAATCTATCGATTTGAGATGTTGGAAAATAAAGAATAAAATTCTTCCAAATTTCCCTCTGAATTAGTTTGGTTCCACCTTAGTACCAATTATTTCTGGGGCATTTATATTGAGGACGATCCTTCTTTGTGTAATTGATTGTTTTATTCGAGGAAATGCAGATAAACCCGTAAAAAAACAGTGGCATATCTAGGGGTGGGTTTTGGGGGTTGCAACCCCCCCTATGAGAGCCATCGTGATTTATTATTATTATTTTTTTTTTCATGACAACACCAACAGAATCGCGAGTTTTATTAAAACAGGGGTGCCGAACACATTTCGCTCGCTTTTGTTTTCTATACGCCGTGTGTGGGACCTGAAACAACTATGCTTGCCTGCAGCAAATAATCGTCTCCCTAACCCTTTGGTCTACTATATCTCTCAACCACCTCAATCAATGCTACAACCCCCCTTTGAAAAAATCCTGGATCCGCCCCTGAAAAAGTTTACCCTAATAGGATAATCATGCCTTGAAAGAGATGGTTAGCAATTAGGACTTTTAAGTAAAACAAGACCCTGTTGGCAGGGGATACCTGGAGGACCTGGTTTCAACATGCATGAAGGATTTAGTTGGTTGAGCTTCCAACACTACTGATAAAGTATTTCGTGACGTCTCGAAGTAATGATAAGCCAGACCCTGGTTGGGACGATTTACTAGGATCAGAGTCTCTAAGAATCTAAAGTTCCGGGTTGCGGGTTCCGGATTTTGGCATACGTAATTAGTAACACGTTTCAAAAGCATGCAACTTTAAAATCAAAATGCTTCATTTGAAACGTAAATACAGGGTAATATTTGCTCAAAACCTCTCTCATAATTGCTGTACATTTTATGGTTTTATAATTTATCGACATTTTTCAATGAATCGCCATTTTTTTGAAGAAAAATTAAAGAGATATCACTTCGAACGGCAAAGACTAACCCTGGAATGTGCTAGCAAATTATTTATTTTGCTTCTTAAATCAAATAGAATCTTAAAATAAATATTACTATGTACCTCATGTTCCTTTGTGAGTAGACTTTGAAGCCAAAACAGTTAATATAAATACATAAACATAGTAGGTTATAAGACTATATTGTCAAGTTCAAGAGAAAACGAGTCATGCTGAATGAATTTGTTTCATACTATCGCTTATCTAGCCTGCGTAGCTAGGCGTTCCTTGTGGGTTTTGGGTTTTGGGGAGGCTTTGGGAGGAGAGAAGAGGAGAGAGGGAATATTGCGCAACTCATTTTGTCGAGGAGAAAAATACAAAAAAACAAAGACATTTTACGACTATGATATGACAGGTATCCCAGTAATTAATTTAAATTGTCGTAGCCTGCAAAACGGCCTTGTCGCTTTGTATCGGTTAATCTGTCTACCTTGCAAGTTCCACAAGCCAACGAGTCAAATCATCAGCAGTTTTTCGAAAATATTATATCAACCTAAATTCAAGACCTTGGAAAACATAGTGATTTGATATGAGATCTCAGGATAAATGAGTTGAGAAAATGATTTAATTTCATCAACACTTAGCAGTACTTATATGTCGACAAGGGGACACATCTTGCATTTAATTTAACATTATTTCCATGAACGATTGTTCTCAGTCTTGATGTTCTCATAACTAGAATTAGTCGCCGTGTTTTTATTTTCTGCTGGGTTTTTGTGTCGCGTTCTTATTTTTATCTGTATCGTAAAGCAGTTGTTTTGGTTGTAATAACTACAGACCTAGCCAGGCGGGCGGGCGGCCAGGCGGGCAGCTAAACAGATAAATGCTATATTACATAAAGCCTGTGAAAAATAAAACATTGTGAATCTCATTTGCCCAATAACCTTCAATCCACAGGTTCCATCATTACAGGATTTTTTGACGAACCACTTGATCTTTCCTGTAAAATACATGATACTAAGCAACCGATCGAAAAGCCGATTATTGTTACTCTTTACTTGAGCAATACTACTGATACAACTATAACTAAATTTGTTTCATACAATGGTACCAAAGTTTGCAATGAAGATCATTGGCTGTATAATATATGCCTGTCACAGGTGACGTCATATTTGACCAAAGATGATCAAGTCCATTTCGTTATCATGAATCCTCCACCAATACTCAATAATTGTGAGACTAACTGTGCGTATGAATACAAGGATAAGATCATCCTTAGTCCAGGACGAAGGATTAAACTTCGAGGTTTGTAAACAATTGCTCTGTATGACCATGCATATATTTTACAACCATCACTCCCGTATATTACGTACGGGGCTCTTCCGTGGGGTTCGCTCAAGATCCACACACACTATTCACAATATACAGCACTTAACTCACATGTTGATTTTTACGGAGGGAGAATTTACTGCTATTTTTATAAACATACGAATTCTGTGTCTACGAGCTGCACGCTGAAATTTGGTTTTCCGCTGCCGTCAATCAAACCTAATCAGTCGGTACCTTTTATGTTTTGACAAACTTCGTGCAGCTAGTGAGTTCGCATGTTCATTATGAAAATAGCAGTAATAGAAAATCCCCCGTGACAAAGATGATGATGATGAAGAAGAATAAGAATAAGATGATGATGATGATGAGGCATCATCATCATAATCATCGTTTTTGTCATTGTCATTGTCCGCATTGTCATTGTCATTGTCATTGTATGACTGTCACACTATCATGACATACGTATTTTAAAATCCCGTATTTTACATCGTTACCAATTAATTGATTCAAGCTGATTTTAATTTTCAATCCAACAGGCAGGATTAAAGGCTACGTTGGTGGAAGAATACATTTTAATTGTTCTATCCCGCAAAACGGACTTGCATGCAATTCGTTAAAGGTCGTCTACTTGAAATTCAACAATAAAGATGTTAAAGCGGTCAACATCACACAATCAAAGAATGAATTTGCTTGTGCTATCGACAGTAGATATTGTAAAGTCTGTCAGGAGCACATGAATTTATCGTACGTCAACGGCAGCAGCGTCGTCTTCGTTTTGGAAAAGACACCAGCCTCCCTCAACAACACCGAATTACATTGTCACGTGAAGTTTATTGATTGTGTAGAGAACAAAAACAATCACGCTCTACTTGAGACGATTATATTTCTCCTATATAAATAAAAGGGCAAGTACACCTTCTTCCCAGTTTTGAATGTCCCGTTACGTTCTTGTGTGTGTGTGAAACTCTTCTACGTGAATGAATGTGACCATTTTGACAGAAATTCAAAAGCTAGTGCTCGCGTCACCTTAAGGTTTTTTCGTAAGTTCATTCAATATTGTTCCCAGAGCCTGTGCAGGCTCGTGGGCGGATATGACTGGTGTATGTCCCGTGTAATACATTCAAGACGTGCCCTAACAATATTAATATTATAGTGACGTTTGCGCTAAACATTATTGTCGTTTACTGAGGCATGCAGCAACAAAACAAGATCTACTTTGAATAAATTACTTCACCTTTATTTGATCAAAAAAGTTCACTGAGTGTAGTTTTTTTGTCATTGAAACTTAATATCAGTAACGTTTTTAGTATATGATGCGAACACTTGATGTTAGGTATGATTACTTACAGATTCATTCCGCAGTGACAGCAGCAATACCATCGGTTGTCGGTATTGTTGTAGTCATTGTTTGTTTATGTTGTTATTTTATTTAGTTTTGGTCTAATTTCAGCTGAAAGGGTAACTGTGATAAGAAGTTCCTGTGTGGGATAGAAAAAATGTATTTGAGTGCCAAAACCCAATGTGCAGATGTAACCCATGACTGCAGTGACGGCACCGATTTTGTAGTGTTGCAGAACATCAATTAAATAAATGGAAGTCAGTCTGCTATGGGACTACCCATAGGAAACTGACTTTGATTTGTTTTTTTACCATATAACAAAGTCGAAAAAATTGAACGCTGCGTACGTGGTTCCACTTGAGTTTGGATCATTTTTGACGTCATTTCCTGCTCGATTACGGTACAGAGCCATAGAAAACTGACTTCGATTTGTTAAATCGACACTGGTTCTAAGCCAATAGCGCGCGAGAAATTTCCAAGTTATGGTAAAAGTTGTTGTTGCTGTTGTAGTTGTTATTGTTTTTCTTGTTCTTGTTGTTTGTGTTGTTGTTGTTGTCGCTGAACATTTAGTAAATTGTCGTTGCTGTTGTTGTTGCTGTTGTTGTTCGTGTTGTCGTTGCTGTTGCTGTTGTTGTTCGTGTTGTTGTTCGTGCTGTTGTTGCTCGTGTTATTGTTGCTGTCATCGTTGTTGAGGTAGATAAACTGCTTTCTTTCGGTTTCAGAAACTACAGCAACGATGACCCCGACAAAAGAAACGACGACCCCAACAAATAAAGGTTAATAATATTTATTATTCGATCGTCAGTTGGAAACTAATGATAAATACCACAGTTTTCAGTGGTTTGATCAGCTTTACATCAATCATTTCTGGAATAGCGAACATGGTGCATTGTGGTCTATAGCTTAGGTACCAACACTCTTGTTCATCATGCCTTATATGGTGTTGGTACATGGTACCGAAGCTAGACCACAATGCACCTCATTTGACGAATTCATAAAAGATTTAGTTGTGCTGACATGATATTGAAAAGAAAAAAAATTTTTTTTGGCTGATCAAAGTCACAGAGAAAGGTTAATTATCATGCATTTGGACCAAGACCACGAACCTTGCAAAGGAGCAGCATTTATTTGTGGTTTTGTTAGCTTTACATGCATCTTTTCTTTTTTCTTAAAAAAAAAGAAATATGATATTTTCTGAAATAGCGAACAAAAGCTTGCCTACAAACATCTTTTGCTCATGTTTTATACGGTGTTGTTGATACCCAAGCTAGGCCACCATACACCTCGTTTGCCGAATTCAGAAAAGATCTGTTGTGCTGACATGATATGAAAAAACTCAGATTTTATCGTGTAAAGAAAAACTTTGGGCTTATCAAAGTCAGGACATGGCTAGCGTGTGTTACTTTATGTGGAGGGAACTAGGAATACCCGAGATCCCGGACTCGCAAAATCCCACAAACCAAGAAAGAGTCCTAATGAACTCTATTCACATGTGATGCTGAGTCTAGGAATCAAACCCAATTTAGACCCAGGAGAAAAACCCTCGAATCAAGGGAGTGACCTAATAAACTCTACTCACATGTCATGCCAAGTCCAGGAATCCAACCTGAGATCATAGAGAGATAAGAGGTGAGTCCACTACCGCTACAATACAACATCCTTGATTGTTATTATGCTATTCATTATGTAACATTCAATGCTAATATCTGTAGTGGAAGAAAAGGATTCAAGATTCATATCAACTAATGCTCTAATCCACTCATCCATAGTTTGTTGATAGTTTTAATTGATCAAAAGTATGTCTTTTCTTTATCCCACGCTCTTCCCTTTAGGACCTGTTCACAGACTTTATTGGATTTTTTAGCTCAGACTCATATTTTTCTTCTTTGTTTTTGAATGAAAAAGGTTTGACGGGTGGAGAAATAGCTGGCATCGTTATTGGGTGTGTTGCTGTTGCTATTGTTATAGTGGTTGGAATGTGCTGGTAGAAACAAATGTGTTGTTTTCGACAAAAACAACATCCCGATCCCGAACAATGAGGATGACCTGAATGATGAAGATCTGTAGTCAAGTAAAGTGTAATTTTGGCAACATGCTACGTAGAACGGACTGAAAGGACGTACAACTAACACCAAAGAACGGACATTGCTACCTATCCTTCCCATGAGAATAAAAGGACGAAAGTTTCGAGCTTCGATTTTTTGTAGAATATTTGTTGTGGAATTTCCATATTCTGTTCAAAGCGTTTGCATGGATGACAGAAGGAAGAACAACACCGATCATGAAAGATGAGAAGAAGGGACCTACTCCAAGTAACTATAGACCTATTACTTGTCTACCAAGAGATCATACAATGGTATCAATGTACGTCCTGCTTAAAAGAAAAGAATAAAAGAAAAAATCTACGATATGAATTATCAAATAAATAAAGATGTATATATATAATTCTTAATATAAAAACTAAGATAGCATAAAACATAATACTATGTAAACGTATGATACTATACATTTGTAGTAAAAAGATTAAAAATTTATAATTTATAATGAGCATTTAAGCATTTTTCAAATCCTGAAACTGATCTGAATTACGAATGTCCATTGGAAGTTCGTTAAATATTTTGGCAGGCATGTAGAAGAAGCCTTGACTATCACATTCTGTCATAATGCTTGGTATCGCAATTCACTAAATAGTCTCTTATATTTTTGAGACGACAATTTTTGTGGTATTGTCGTTTCAAAATTAAGGTTTCTGATTGGTCAACATGCAACAAAAAGGAAAACTTGAGCGCGCGTGCGTCAAATTTTTACGCTTGTTGCTTGTGCCATAGCGCGCGCTCGTAAGGAGAATTTCGCTTTTAATCAAGGAAAATCGGTCAGTTTTTTTCTTTTTTGTGTGTAAAGCTACTCCGCCCAATACCGAATATATAATATATTTTCTCCCGTCAATATTTCGTGGTATTGTCGTCTCAAAATCGTAATTAGTGGTTTTCTCGTGTTGATGAAGATTAAAATAGTTTTGAAGTGCGTCACAAGTGTCTCCATCAAGAATTTTCCTTACCATCAAACAAGCACGTTTCTAATGACATCCTCCACACAACCGAATAGTCTAAAATACATATAACGAATTTTCACATTACGAATTTTAAAACCAAAGCTTACATAACTACCCGGTCCCCAAAAAATCTAGTTACATAGTTTTTAGGAGTTTTGTTGAGATTTTGACTTGTCCATCATATCGTAGCTCCATTTTCATACAAATAGATGCTTTGCACCATCACGTGAAGGCAGCCATGTTAGATGGCAGGAGCAATTGCTTACTATCAATCACGTGACTTTTTGGAGTTGACTGGGTGGCAAACAAGCGGTTGACTGGGGGGCAACTAGCGGATGCTAAGCCAAAACATATCAAAATAAGTCCTCAAACTATTATATCTGACTTTTTTCAAGACATCAAACCAGAAAACAAGAGATCAAAACAACCTCCAGGATTCTACAAGCCAATAAAAAAAGAGCTATTACCGGAAGTGACGTCTATTAATATCAACCTATACAATCGTTTTAAATAAGGAAGAATTCTTTCGGGATTTTATTGTTCTGCCATCAAACCACAGGCAGTCTAAGTTGTATTGTGGACGCCGACAGCAGATGTTAGTTCTGATTCCGACTTACTTCGAAAACAGTCCATGAATTAGTTATGATCAAGTCCGCTTCAGTTCAACATGGACGCAATCTTATTTCTTTGGATAAGTTTGATTCTACTAATTTTTGCATTGGGGAGTGTCAAAGGTAAAACTATCATATTAATAATATCAGGAAGCTATAGTCATGAGCATATGTCAGTACTCGGGTTGTAGATGAGAGACTTTGAATTCAATTGACGAAAGTATCACTAACAAAAAGCATTATTCGTTCTTTGTATACGAAAACCACTTTGTAGAACTTCTAAGGAGTTACTGAAAATATCTTAAGAAGATATTACAAGCCAAAACTTAATTGAACAAACTTAACATGAGATACAGTATTTGATATCACAGAAAACTGAAAAAATAAGATAATATTAAAATCTGGTATGCTATCTGGTTGTTTTTAAACCAGTTAAAACGCACGTGCTCGCGGATTTATATCGAAGTTCAATGCAAACCCTCGCCCTAGCGTTTAAATCTTTATATAAAAAAATTTCTTTTACTCCGACGAAGGACTAGCGTCCGAAACGTCAGTAAGTTTTTTCATTTTTTCATCTTTTCATGGTGTATAATTTACCTTTTCATCATTACTGTTTCATTAGAAACACCGACGCAGCTCACACTAGTTTTTAGCTAGTTATATCTTCTATATCAAATACAGTTTAGTAATGGGATATATCTATATCAGAAAGCAAGATAATTGTCTTGGACGTTCCGATTAACAAGCGTATTCGAGGAATTACAGGGAAACCCGATAGCGTATCTGTGGCTCTAAATATATTATTTGGAAATATGCTGAACTAAATTGCAAACTAACTTATTCGATCTATAGCTTTTACGGCAGACTCGTTCATCCTTAAACCTGAGAAAGAAGTGTACAGTGAAGAAGGCAGTGATGTCACGTTAGAGTGGCACTTTCACGTCGGATCCTGGTCAAGCTCACTTACAAATGGAGTGTTTGAATTTCTTTTTGGTGTTTGGGATGATCCTGGCTTTGTGAGAAACAAGATCCTGGCTGTTCAAGAACGCAACGCGGTATCTAAACGAAGAGAATTCGAAAGAAAGGTGGATTGGAGCGGGAATATTTACGACTGTGTGAATTGTACAGCAAGAGTCAAAATGTACAACTTGACGGATGTGGACTTCAAGAAGTATGGCGTAGAGGTGGAACTAAGTTTGGACAGGAGACCTCTTACGAATTGGGTAACACTTGTCAAATTTGGTAAGTTATAACCGCAAACTTTAATTGGCAGTCTTCGCTTGCCAAGATTTAAATTCTATACTGGATGACTTTACAGACTACCCTACAATCATGATGAGTCATCATTTCTTAGTGAAGGAAAGAAGGAAGGAAGAAAGGAAGGAAGGAAGGTAGGAAGGAAGGAAGGTAGGAAGGAAGGTAGGAATAAAGAAGACAACAAGAAAGTTCATTTAATTTTTCATTTATTTCATGTACCTTTGGGCAGTACCCGCAGAAATATTGAAATGGCCGTTAAAAATGGAAGTCGAGGAAGGTAACGCAACGACTATCGAATGCGAAGCTAAAGGCCGTCCAACGCCTTCTGTCATCATCAAGAAGAGGAATCGTACACTGTGTCATAATAGTACAGGACACTGTGTGTACGAGATTCGAGAAGCCAAGCCCGAAGATGAGGGAGAGTACTTGTGCTTAGTACAGCAAAGGAACTACAGCCAAAAAACCAGCAGTTCCTTGAACCTGACGGTGCTAGAGGGAAGAAACATATCAGCGATAGACACTAACGCAGGTATATGGGGGAATGTTATCGATTATGAAAAGATATAGAAAAGAGAGGAATGAAAGGCAGCTTGGGATGCAGCTCAGTTAAATACCAAGTACAATTTTTTTTATTTTTCAGTTTTCCTAACCGCGGTCATTGTGGTCATCTTTGTCGAGGTGGTTTTGACATTATCAAACGTATTCGGGCTTATGGAAAAAAATAAACAAATAAAAACTGATTAGACGGGAGAAATATTATCAATTCAAAAGAGAATGTTGAGTTAACAATCAGAAGTCAACCGGAATTTTTCACGAATAAGAAAGTCACCAATCAAGACTAATGAAGAACAACTAAAGAAATATTATCTGCACACCGTCAATCTCCATTCATGTAATTTGTTTTTTCATTTTTATTGCAAAGAACCTGGAAGGCAGGCAGTATTAGCATGACACTAGTGTAAGAACCACATGCAACTGTCTAAAAATACATTGGTTTTTATCACCAGAGAAAATTGATAGATTCTTGGCACATAATTAACAACGAGCACTCGCACATAACTGTATGTTTTTTTATAATCACTAATCTTTGCAAGAACGCTCCGGATAGCACGGTAAAAAGTGTTTGTAAAAGTAGGACCTAGCTATAGTTGGAAATAAAAAACTATGAGAAAGACCCAAAAGATTCTTTTGTTGACAACAGAATTATCAGTGCAACTGGTAAATTTCACGATCTAAAGAATGTTCTCACAGATGTCAATAAAGTGTCCATGAAAACTAGAAAGAAAATCTTAGAATCCTGTATTAGATCTAGACTTCTTTATTGCACGGACGTAAGCACAATTACCGAATGAGGAAGAACTGAAAAAACTCGAAACATGTTGGTACGGCCTTCTAAGAAGAATGATAAAAAATGGCTGGAAGAGAAAAACAGATAGTGATGGTGAAGAAACTTTTGCACTCAAATACAAAAATACTGATGTTGAACGGATAATTGGGACTCCACCACTACGGGATTTCTTATATGTTCGATATTTAAAATATATCGCACACATATGTATACGGCCGAACTCCAATCTTACAAAAAAATTTCTTTTCATCAAACCAACCAAAAAATATGTCAGAGATCCATAGATAAAGATCGAAAAACTATAAAACATTGATAAAGATCAGGCCAGAAGATTAACAAAAGACAGAAAAGCCTTCAAAGGACTTCTTATAGAGCTCCCGTTGTTCAGCTAATTGCTGTTAATAATGGAACAGAACTGATATTGATACTGATCCCAGAAACCAAGTGCTACACAGTTTACATAAAAGTTTAGACTTCAATAAAGCGTCTTTTGAAGCTCAGCAGGATCCCAGCCAGTGTTAAATAATGTACACTGTCTCCCATTTATCTTACAGCTCTCTACATATCAAGATTCAGGTTTTAGTGACCCACTTTACGCATCAGATTTCACAGTAACAATGATCTTTAAATTAATTTAAAGCCAAAACTACGAGATTGTCGTCATGCAATCGGAAATAAAATAAAAAATAAAAAAGCGAGCAAACTAATTTGTACGCTGCGTCGGCGTTTCTGAGGATAATAGAGACCTTTAATATCAGGTATACCGCTGATCGCTAGTATCATGCAGTATCAATGAAATTCAATATGGCGGCTCTTTTAGCCACAACATCGTTATGACGCCTTGCTAAATGTCGAACGTTTGACGGAAATCTCCAGGCGTCGAACTGCAGTTTGAGTGTTGCTGTACCTAGCAAGAACGTCGTGCTAAAGGTTCCCTTATATAAGTAACTTTTTAACCGGGAACTTTTACAAAGTCTTTTACTCTTTGTTACCAATATAAGGTGTCTATAACATATATATAACGTTTCCGACGTTATATTCAGTTATAGTCTTTTGTCAGAAAAAGAGAAATATTGTCTGCATCTATTTGCTTCGCTTGCAAACAGCGTGCGTGACGCCCAATCCAACTTTTTGAAGCCAAAAAGTAAAAAATAACATCCTTGACAGAACTCATGGAAAAAAATTAGATAATATTTTTTATAATTCATTTTAAAACGAAAAATTATACAAGTTTTTGTCTCAAAAAAAATCTAGTTGCATAGTTTTTAGAAGTCATAGCGCAACATCGACTTGCACAATGGCCGGTTTGGCAGATGTTAGTTCTGATTCCGACTTACTTCGAAAACAGTCCATGAATTAGTTATGATCAAGTCCGCTTCAGTTCAACATGGACGGAATCTTATTTTTTAGGATAAGTTTGATTCTACTAATCTTTGCATTGGGGAGTGTCACAGGTAAAACTATTAATCGAAATAATGTAGTCATATCATGAGCATTCGTACTCCCAGTTGGAAGACGGCCGAGTAGAGACCGAGAGTTTAATTCAGTTGTCAACAGTTCTGCTATTAAACTACGAACATTCGTTCTTTGCATAGAAAACACTGCACTTTGTGAATGACAGTAATAGAGTATTGGACATCACAGTAAACTAGTTTTTGTACCGAAAAGAAAACATTAAAATGATATAGTTTATAAGTCTCTATAAATCACAAAGCGAGTGAAACTAAGACATCGTCATGGTTGTTCAAAAGTCATGGGGTCGGAAAATAAACTGGTGATCATGAAGGGAAACCCGCACATATATTTGATACCAGTTATTTCTGGGGCATATACATTTTGGTATAATTGATTGTTTTATTGGAGGAAAGGCAGATAAACCCGTAAAAAAGTTTACTCTAATCGAATAATCATACCTTGAAAGAGGTTAGCAATTAGGACTTTTAAGTAAGATTAATGTAAATTGTCGTAGACTGCGAAACGGCCTTGTCCCTTTGCATTAGTTAATCTCCCTTGCAAGTCCCACAAGCCACCGAGTCTAATCGTCAGCTGTTTTCGAAAATATTATATCAACCTAAATTCAAAACCTTGGAAAACATAGTGATTTGATATGAGATCTCAGGATAAATCAGCTGAGAAAATGATTTAATTTCATCAACACTTAGCAGTACTTATATGTCGACAAGGGGACACATCTTGCATTTAATTTAACATTATTTCCATGAACGATTATTTTCAGTCTTGATGTTCTCATAACTAGAATTATTGGTCGTGTTTTTATTTTCTGCTGGTTCATTGTGTTCTTATTTCTTTGTATCCTAAAGGCCGGTTTAGACGGTACGATTTTTGCCCACAACTATCGTATACAACGCTCTCGCGTCTGTCGTAGGCGAGTCGTAGGCTTGATTTACACGCTACGACTCGAGTTGTAGGATGGCGCGAGCGTGTTGTATACGATAGTTGTAGGCGAAAATCGTACCGTCTAAACCAGCTTTAAAACAGTTGTTTTGGTTGTTAAGTAATAAGTACAGACGGAGCCAGGCGGGCAGGCGGGCAGGTGAAAAAATAAAACATTGTGAGTCTCATTTGCCCAATAAACTTCAATCCACAGGTTCCATCATCACAGGATTTTTTGACGAACCATTGGATCTTTCCTGTAATGAAAATAATGATACTAAGCAACCAATAGAAAAGCTGATTGTTATTCTCAAATTGAGCAATGCTACTGATACAACTACAACTAAATTTGTTTCATACAATGGTACCAAAGTTTGCAATGAAGATCATTGGCTGTATAATATATGCCTGTCACAGGTGACGTCATATTTGACCAAAGATGATAATCGAGCCCATTTCGTTATCATGAATCCTCCACCAACACTCAATAATCGTGAGACTAAATGTGTGTATGAATACAAATATTCGACTACCGAGGACACCCCTAGTGGAGGAACTGTTCGAACGATTAAACTTCAAGGTTTGTAAACAATTTTGCTCTGTATGACCATGCATATATTTTACAACCATCACTCCTGTACGTATATTACGTACGCGGGCTCTTCCGTGAGGTTCGCTTCGGATCCACACACACTATTCACAATATACAGCACTTAACTCACATGTTGATTTTTACGGAGGGAGAATTTACTGCGATTTTTATAAACATGCGAACTCTGTGTCTGCGAGCTGCACGCTAAAATTTGGTTTTTGGCTGCCTCCAGTCAAAGCAAAAAAGGTACCGACTGATAAGGTTTGATTGACGGCAGCGAAAAACCAAATTTCGTGCAGCTTGCAGCAAGCGAGTTCGCATGTTCATTATGATAATAGCAGTAATAGGAAATCCCCCGTGACAAAGATGATGATGGTGATGATGATGATAATCATCATCCTCATCAAAACAGTGGAACGCTCTCCCTAAGGACATTAGACATGCATCATCAGTAGAACTTTTTAAAAAGAAACTTAAAACATACCTGTTCAATTTATAATCCAAGTAGTCAGACCACATTTATTATTTGAGTTTATTTTTCTTCTTACTTTATATATTTTAATGTAAAGGCATTGAGATTTTGTAATGCCTTAGAACCACAATTATTATTATTATTATTATTATTATATCATCATAATCATCATCATTGTTATCGTTATCATTATCGTTTTTGTCATCATCATTGTCATTGTCGTTGTCGTTGTCGTTGTCGTTATCGTTGTCGTTGTCGTTGTCGTTGTCATTGTCATTGTCATTGTCATTGTCATT